TAATATTTTTCTTGTGTTATTTAAGGTTGAATTCATTCATTCTACAAAGCAAATAAAATTTTCTGCCTTCATATTATGATGGGGGGGCACCTGACACATAATACCTAAGTATACAATATACAAAGCACTTTACATGTTATTATGATTAATCCTCATAATAATATCCTGTGGTGGAGATATTATTATTAGTCACATTTTCTAGGTCAGAAATCAAAAATCAACAAGTTTTAAACTTGCCTAAGATCACTTAACCACTCAGGTGCTTGCTTCCAACCTGAAGTCTGAAGTCCATTCTCTTAACATTACATTCTACCACCAAAATAAGGAGTGGCCATAATTTAGCAAAACACCATGGTGGGTGCTAGGACCAAATCAGTATCTCTAGTACTCAGTTTCCTTCCTCTAATAAATGAAAGATTAAGATTATTATTATTATTTTAGTTTATACATGGACACAATAACTTTATTTTGTTTATTTATTTTTATGTAGTGCTAAGGATCAAACCAATGCCCTACACATACTAGGCAAGTCTTCTACTACAGAGCTACAGCTGCAGCCCCAGATTAGGATTATTGGGTCTTCTTTAATTTTTTTTTATAACTTTATTTTATCTATTTATTTTTATGTGGTGCTGAGGATCAAACGCCTTGCACATGCTAGGCGAGTGCTCTACTGATGAACCACAACCCCAGCCCCAGGATTATTGGATCTTTATCTTTTCTTCCAGCTCTATAGTCAGAGGCATTCTTAAGTGTTTTAAAAATTCTTTGATCTTTTTTGTAGTGCTGAGGATTGGATCCAGGATAGGTCTTAAAATTATTGAGTGGATTCTGAAAGGGGGAAATAATTATAAAGTATATTATTGATGTGATTGGGAAAATGTGGTAATATTGCATATAAATAATAAATATTTTGAGTATATGATTGAATTGTAATTATGTTATTCTTATTCCAACAAATAAGTATAGAAGTGACATGTCATGATATTTACAATAAACTTTCAAATAGTCAAATCTGTATCTACATATATGTAAAGAGGGAGGGAAAAACAAAGTAAATGTGGCTCAATCAGTGAATCCAGGTATAAAAGTTTCGCACTGTCATATAACTTTTACAAAGTTTGAACTTTTAAAAAATGTTGCAAATAGAAAGTATTCTTTAGACACATTGGTTCCCTTTCCAGTTCCATATTTTATTGATTATGAAAGGTTTTATATTGTAAGAATATTATATTAAAAACAACATTTTCCTGGGCTGGGGTTGTGGCTCAGTAGTAGAGCACTCGCCTAGCATGTGCAAGGTGCTGTGTTTGATCCTCAGCACGACATAAAACTAAATAAAATAAAGGTATTGCATTCAACTACAACTAAAAAATAAATATTAAAAAAAAACAAAAAAACCTTTTTCCAGGCTTGGTGGGATACACTACAATCCCAGCAACTCAGGAGGCTGAGGCAGGAGAATCGCAAGTTCAAGGCCAGACTCAGCAATTAAATGAAGCCCTGAACAACTTAGTGGGATCCTGTCTCAAAATAAAAAAAATTAAAAAGGCTGGTGATGTGGCTCAGTGGCAAAGCCCCTCTGGGTTCAATTCCTAGTATCAAAAAAAAAAAAAAAAAAAAAAAAAAAAAACTTTTGGGGAAAGAGAAACCCACTAAATATATATGTTGATAACAAGGCTTATCTTTATTTTAGGTAATTTAAAAGGTTAAAAAAAAGTAGATATTTTAGAATTGTTATAATGCTTTCAGGAGAATGAAGCAATACTAATTTTTTTTTTTTTTTTTTTTTTATACTGGAAATTTAACCGTAGAGTGCTTTACCACTAAGCTATATCCCCGTCCCTTTTTAACTTTTTATTTTGAAATAGGATCTTGGTAAGTTGCTGAGGATCTCACTAAGTTGCTGAGGCTGGCCTTGAACTTGTGATCCTCTTGCCTCGGTTTCCAGAGTTGCTGAGATTAAAGGCGTGCATCACTATGCCTGGCTGAGGAATACTCAGACTTCATTCTAATTTCTTATAGAATCTTTAAACAATATAGATATGAATATAGAAAAGACTAAGTATTAATTGTTGTTTTCTCTGGATAGTGGAATACAGGGAATTTTTATTTTCTTCATGCTAATCTGAATTTTCAGAACTTATACCAAAAATAAAACTTATTATATGCTGGATGTAAAAACTTCCAAAAATTATTGTAGCACAAAGAGCTATAAAGTATATCTCTGGAATTTAGATCTATAATACTTCTTTCTTCATGAGAAATAATTTCTTTTTTTTTTTTCAAAAAAATATTTATTTAGTTATATATGGTCACAGTACCTTTATTTATTTATATGTGGTGCTTAGGATTTAACCCAGTACCTCACATGTGCAAGCAAGTGCTCTACCACTGAGCCACAACCCTAGTCCCATGATGAGAAATATTTTCAAATTTTTTGTTGTTGTTGTTGTTAAGCAACCTTTTACTGGACACAGTGACTCATGCCTGTAATCCCATCTGGTAGGGTGGCTAAAACAGGAAGATTGCAAGTTTGAGGTCATTTTATTATGCATGTCTAGTAATATATATATTTTTACTATAAAGAGATTTTATATATATTAAAATCCTTATATAGTAGAAATTGTGTAATGGTAAGGAATAGATTTCTCTAGCCTTTTTTTTTTTTCCCCCCTGAGGTGCTGGAGATCAAACCCAGGGCCTTATTCTTGGGAGGCAAGTGTCTACCACTGAGCTACACCTACAGCTCCTCTACAACACAATTTTTATCTGCACTTTCAAAAGATAGCCTGTAATTTTTATTACTTAGTCCATGTTGTTGAGTATATGTTTTTATGTTTTGCTACTATACAGGGACACTATCGAATACCCTTTGCCTTTTTAATGATCAAAGACCATAAGCATTACTAACTTGCCTTCTAGAAAGATTACACTAAATTACAATTCTGTTAGCAGTGTGTGACTCTCTGAAGTCTAGACAAAATAATTTGATTTTCTCAAAATTGAACATTTTCTCATCTTGTGTTTTTTTTTCTCCTTTGTGTTTTTTAATAGGGGGATTTTGGCAATTGCTTGGAGCATGGCAGATCCTGAATTGTTACTGAGCTGTGGAAAAGATGCTAAGATTCTGTGCTCTAACCCAAACACAGGAGAGGTATGGGGAGGAGATGTTTCTTAACTTTGTAGCCCTTGGAATACTGTTTTGTAGATAAATAAAAATTTTATATGGATTCTTTAGTGCATTCTTATGATTAAAGACATATGAAAGTAGATAGAGGTGGTTGTGAAAGATTAATCTAGTGGAGATTTTATCAGGAATATTATCTAAGCTCTTTCAACCAGAAAAATTAGTCATTGAAATAGTTTGTTGCAACTAGAAAAGATTTCCAATAAAATTTATTTATTACTTAGATTCAGAAATAGTTTGTGGGCTGAGGGTGTGGCTCCCTGGTAGAGCATTGGCCTAGTGTGAATGAGGCTCTACATTCAGTCCCTAACACTGCCCCCCTGCCCATCCCCACCCTCCACCCTGCCCAAAAATAATACTTAGTTTGATTTATCTCACATGTGATTCTTGTAAATCATTATCTTCATTGTAGAATTGTTCAAGGTTT